GGAGGAGGAAGAGAAGGGAGGTTGGCGAGGAAGAAAGTGTCGGCAGCCATAGCCGACCAGAGGGTTGACCGAGGCGTTGACTGGAGCTGTTGACCACGAGTTTGACCAAGCTGGAGTTGGTATAATCTCGCCAAGCCCTTAGCCTATCCCCTCGCCCTATGGATGTGCACTCACCCTATGGTACTTGCTGAGTCTGAGTCTGTCTGTCTCTTCTTTTTCTGCATTGAGTCTCTTTTATCCAGGTTCCGTGTATGGAGGATAGGCCTCGTTGACCAAACCCACACGGGCTGAATAGGGCTAAAGACTGTGTCTGACGACTCGACTGTCCCGGAGGACACGAACCCTCCCAAGGACCGGTACTGACCGGCGGGCTGCTTAGTGTGGCACGGTAGGCCCAAAACCCGAGCTGTGGGCTGCACAACGGGCCGTCTATGTCTTGAGAGAACCTCTTGATTGCGTCGTCCTGTTAGCGACGTTAAAGAATTCCTGAGGAGTTACGGGGGATCTCCTTAAATGCCTCCTCGTCAGCAACAGGTTCTGTAGTGACGACTGTAGTGATTAGAGTCTAGGCTAGAGACCATAGTTGACAGGGTTCTATATAGATCATCTGGTTCTTAGATTGAGTCAGTAGGTCGTGTCAGTTAGAGGGTAGGTCTAAGTGGTGAGGAGTGGGACAGTTTCTGTCGTGCACCTAACACCATGGACGATTACCCCATGTACGACTTGCTTGTGGGGTTCTCCCTGTGGGGGACCCTCTCGCGTTTCCTCTTCCCTCTGGGATTCTGGAACACCTTTACGTGCAGAGTAGACACGAGGGGTGGTACGACTACCAAGCCTTACACAGTAGAACAGGAGGCGAAAGCCGCCGCCCTCCTGAAAGAGAGAAAAGAAAAGAAAGAGGCCAAGAAGAAGGCCCTGATGGAGGAATAGGCGGCGAAGTTGAAGAAGATTGAGGAGGAGATGACCAGACAGAGAGAGAGGTTAAAGAAGGAAGAAGAAGAGAAGCTCAAGGCGGTGGAAGAGGAGGAAGAGGTAGAAGAAACGCCACTGGAGAGGAGAAGAAGGGGGCAAGGAGGTGAATCCAGTGGTACGAAAGAGGACCAGATGGAGAAGAAAATTACGGAGTGGGTTGCTGGTTTATCCCTGGGGGAAGAAGAGGAGGCACTGAGTATGAGCCCAGGGAAGAACAAGAGGCCGCCATGAAAATGTGGGATGCAGAGGAAGACCCACTTAAGCGGCAGGCGATAGAGGATGAGAAGAGGATGGAGTGGAAATTCCGATTGATGAGGGAGAGGAAAAAAAGAATGGAGGCGGCGAGCGAGGCGGCGAAAGAATTGGAGGAGGTGAAGAAACAAAGAGAGCAGATGGCGATGCAAGTGGACCTATTGGGGAAGATGGAGATAATGGCGAGGAACATAGAGCGCCTGACACAGGTCCAGGAAGAACAATACTTGTTTGGTAGAGGTCGGGACATTGCCTTACGCTCTATACGGCTGGGGCTCCGGGACTTTGCCAGGGAATTGGCGACGCAGGTGGGCTCAGAGGTGAGGGTCCGCCTAGAGGGCACGGAACGTTATTGTACGGGCGCCATAGAAGGCGCTAGATTGACTGCCCCCAAGGAGGAGGAAGCACGTCCCCATAGGGAGCCGGTCAAGGTCAAGTTCCCTGACTCCTATAGTGGGAAGGAGGAGGAAGCACGTCCCCAGACGAGCATGTCCTAATAGCGATACACGCTCTTAGAGAGGAAGCAGCAAGCTTCGCCCATTCCCTGTGTCGTGCCGCTAACTGTAACGATGATTTGGTTGCCTATTCCGCGTTCACTCCCCTCAGTGACTTTCTTAAGTTACTGAGAGAATGGTTTGCAAATGTGACCCGTAGTGTCAAGGCTTCGGATAAACTGCAAACCATTCATTCTCGTCAGTGGAGGAGTGTCAGGGCACTCAAAGGTGTGATGGACGAGTTGGTCGTCGTTCCTGACCATGGGTTCACAGAGACCCAGTTGGTCAATCTCTTCTACCGCGCTATGCCCGAACAGTTATGCGGGCATTTCTTCGAAAAGAGCCAGCAGCCTACCATGACCTATGATGCGTTGACCAGGGAGGTGGTAGCATTCGAGGCACGGTCCGTGTCAGTTTCCACTTTTTGGCACAAGGATTTGGATAAGGGTAAAAACTGGAAGGGTCGCACCATCTCGGGTCAAGTCAAGACCAAGGATCGTTTGATCCTTACATTAGATGAGGGTGGTGTCGACGAGGTCCCCTACGAGCAGATTGAGTGGGGACTAGAGGAGGAGGACAGTGGCGTTAGCCATGGGAGGACTTACGCTGTTGTCGCGGTCAGAGGGAGGCCGCAAGGAGGAGGTGGAGGCCAGGGCCAAGGGGATCGGGCCTCAGGGGGCCGTTCCCAGGGTGATCAGGGGGTTGGTGGTAGAGGAGGAAATCGCCAAGCGGGAGGTAGGAGTCAAGGTCCCCCGCAAAACCGTTCAGGGAATAGATCACCTAATAGGGGTAATAGGTCCACAAATGACCCTGACCACGTCATTAAATTTTGTCCAAAGTATAGAGAGGTCCGATGGGCTGCCCAAGAGTCAAAAGGCAGCCGCCGGTAGGGGTAGCAACTGCCCCTACCATCAGGCCATGTGGGGAAATGAGCACGAGCCGGCAGGAATCTCCCACACCACATGTTCCTATGGCAGAGGTTGCAGGTCGGTGCCTAGATAGTTGTCCAGAGACCGCTTGTGTTAGGGTCTCTCTAGGCACTTCCCTCACAGGTGTGGCCGATGAGCTAAAGGAGAGGATGCCCGACTGGGCCAAGATGAAGAAGGAGAGTAGAGGACAGCTAGTTTTAGTAGATGTAGAGATTTTTAGAGGTAGAGTAGGGGCCCTAGTAGATAGCGGGCCCATGCGCAGCTATATCAGTAGAAAGGCGCTGCAGAATTTGAAGTTGGGGCTAAAAGTCCAGAAGTTAGCAGACCCCATAGTGAGTATCCTCGCGGACAATCGCACGATGCGAATAGAGGATTATGTAGAGGGAGTCCAGGCGTACTTTCGCCTAGAGAAGGATGAGAAGGTGGATAAAGTTCTCCATTCCCTGACTCTCCTCGTAGAAGACAACCTTCCTTTCGATATAGTCCTAGGAATGGATTGGGGAGAGGCAGTCGGGGCCACACTCCATTTGAGAGAGCACGAGTGTAGGCTTCCTAGTCCGTCAGGCGGGGTCAGGACTGCCCGCTTGTTCCACGTGTCAGGAGTAGATAACTCTCTGGCACATTGTTGCCTTAGCGCTCCTGCGTTTGCAAGATTAGTAAAGAAGGAGAAGCTAGAAGAACAGGTCCTTGTAGCCTATGTCAGGCCAGTTACTGAGCCTAAAGAGGAAAAGCCCATAGATCCCGCTATTGCCAAGTTGTTGGAAGAGTATGTAGATTTAGCTGAGCCGCCTACGGGAGTAGTCCCGCCGCCCATCCAACACCGCATTGAGATAGAGTCTGGCAGTAGGACTCCTAAAGGAGCAGTGTATAGGATGTACCCACGGGAATTGGAGGAGCTGCGTAAGCAGTTAGACGAACTCCTAGAGAAGGGTTGGATTAGACCCAGTTCGTCTCCATTTGGAGCACCTGTTCTGTTTGTCCCAAAGAAGGAGGGAGAGCTTAGGATGTGCATTGACTATAGGGGTCTTAATGCTATCACATTGAGAATGCAGAGCCACTGCCCCGTATAGATGATCTTTTAGATAGGGTGCAGGGTTGCAAGTATTTTTCAAAGATAGACTTGAAGTCCGTATATCATCAGACAGAAGCGCATCCTGACGATCAATATAAGACCGCGTTCCGGACTAGATATGGGCACTACGAGTTCATAGTCATGCCCTTTGGACTAACCAACACGCCGACGATTTTTCAGCGCTGTATGAATGACTTGTTTAGGCCGTGGTTAGATAGATTCGTAGTAGTCTACCTAGATGATATTCTAGTGTTCAGTAAGACCCTCCAAGAGCATGAGGCTCATCTGAGGCAGGTCTTGGAGAAGCTGAGAGAGGCTAACTTCAAGATCAACGCAAAGAAGTGCGAATGGGCAAAGATCCAAGTTCTATATCTCGGCCATGTCTTAAACGGAGACGGTATCAAGCGAGAAGATAGCAAAATCGCAGCGATTAGAGATTGGCCTACACCCCGCACGTTGACAAAATTGCAGTCGTTTTTAGGCCTAGCAAATTACTATAGGAAGTTTGTGCGCAACTTCTCCACCATCGCTGCGCCCCTTCGCAGGTTGCTGAAGAAAGAAGCGATTTGGAAGTGGGACAAGGACTGCACGTATGCCATGAAGTGTCATGAAGAAGTTAAAGCAGGCGTTGATAGAGTACCCAGTCCTCAAAGTACCCAGTCCTCAAAGTACCCGATCTGTCCTTACCTTTCGTCGTCACTACTGACGCGAGCCAGTACGGTATAGGTGTTGTGTTACAGCAAGACGATGGCAATGGGTATAGGCCGATAGAGTTCATGCTTGTGAGAATGCCTTCAGAGAAGGTCGCGACATCTACCTATGAGAGGGAACTCTACGCTCTCAGGCAAGCTCTAGAACATTGGAAGCACTACTTGCTTGGGAGACACTTTAAAGTCTACTCGGACCACGAAACATTAAGGTTGTTAAAGACGCAGGCCAAGATGACACCTAAGCTAACTAGGTGGGCCGCCGAACTAGACCAGTATGATTTTGAGCTCAAGCCAGTCAAAGGGAAGTATAATGTAGTTGCGGACGCTCTGAGTAGGAAAGCTGACTTCTTTGGAGCAATAGTTCATTATCTGGATATAGGGAGAGACCTGCAACAAAAAGTTAGAGAGGCGTACGCGTAGGACCCTATTTCTAGTGACCTCCTCAAGAGAGTTAGGGAGGCACCAAAAACTGATCCAGTCTTGCCCATGCTTTCACTCACATAGTAGTTGGTGATATTTCGTTTCAGGCTTGGTTGTATTCATGAGCCACAAGCATGTGTTTAAGCAAGTCTCACTCCCTTGGGCTGGCTGCAGTCCCAATGAGAATGGACCAAGTGGAAGGAGTCACTCTTCATGGTCAAAGATGCTAGAGGGAACGAGCTTCCTATCCTCTTGGCTGAGAAGCACGCGTCCCAAGTGACTTTTCTAGATTACCGCACTACAGAGGGATTACTATTCGAGAAGACTAACGTAGTAGACCGCCTATGCGTTCCCAACAATGAGGAGGTCGGTAGTCTGATCCTAGGGGAATGTCACGATACAGAGGCACATTTCGGTTGGCAAAAGACTCTAGCCAATCTGATGCACGCGTACACTTGGCCAGAGATGAAAAATGACTGCATAGAGTATGTTCGCAGTTGTAAGGTTTGCCAGAGGAATAAGACTACTACATGTGCCCCCCCCAGGCAGACCCCTGCCTATTCCTGATCAGCTAGGAGATTCAGTGTCCATTGACTTTATGGACGCTGGCGTCAAGAGTAGGCATGGCAAGAGCCAAGTCATGGTCATAGTTGATATATTTAGTAAATATGTTGTTTTTGTCCCATTACCTGCTGAAGTTGGAGCTGAGCTAGTAATTCAGAAGTTTTTTTATCATTGGGTCAGTGAGCACAGGGTTCCACTGTCTATAGTTAGTGATAGAGACACCCGGTTCACTAGTCAGAACTGGCAGGAGTTGATAAGAGTCTATGGCTCCAAGTTGTTGATGTCATCTGACCGTCATCCAAAGACCAACGGTCAGACTGAACAGATGAATAAGATCCTGCATCAAATTCTGCGTATGTACATTAGACCGGATCAGACCAATTGGGATGAGATGTTGCCCAAAGTAGCCAGTGCGTACAATAACAGCGTGCACTTGTCTACCTGTCGCACTCCCAACGAGTTGCACAAGTCCTTTAGACCTCGTAGACCGTTTGAGGGACTTCACCGGGATCAAATTCATAGGCTACCACCCGGAACCAGGGAGTTCGCGATACAGCACGAGAAAGAGCTAGCTACAGTCATAGAAAACCTCAGGAAGGCCCAGCATAGAATGATAGAGCAAGCCAACAAGCACTGTCGCCCATCGCAGTTCCAAGTAGGCAACTTAGTCTGGGTCAAGTCCAAGGAGTTTGCTCCTAAGGAGAACATCTCGCAGAAGTTACTACCCGCGTATAGAGGACCGTGGCCAGTTCTAGAAGTCAAGGGCGGAGAGGATGGGCCGTCCTACACAGTAGAGATCCCAGCACACCTCCACACCTACCCTGTGTTTCATGCCTCAAAGTTGTTGTCGTGTGTCACAAGTCAACAATTTCCATCTAGAAGATCCATGATTCCTCCAGACATGGACGAAAAGGTACGACATTGACGGCATTGTAGGTGAAGACGTGTTCAGAACACGAGGTAGAGGTCGTCCACAGAAGCAATACAAGGTTCGGTTTGCTTATCAGGAACTAGAGGACAACAACTAGTTTACTAGAACAGAACTTCTAGAAACAGCTCCCGATGTAGTTAGAGCCTACGAAAGAGATAAGAAGGGTAAAGGTTCTGCCTTGGACTGAGTTATTCTCGGGGGACCTCGAATTTAGGCCGGCGAGAGTGAAACGGTTTTCACCTGTTAGCAGTAGCGAATGCAGATCCCAGGGCTCGATCCCTAGTTCTCACCTTACCAGTGTACAGTATCTGTGTCGACCCCGAGTGTTTGAACCCGTGACCTGTGTTTTGACAGTTGTTGTTGTCTGTCGTAGGTCTGGGTAGTGGTAGGGGTTCAATCTGTAGGTCTGTCGGGTAGGAGTCTTAGCAAGGGCTAGCAGTCGTAGTTGTGGCTCCTTCGAAAGGTCAAGGTCGTAGCTGCTACAGTCCTGAAGGGTCAAGGTCGTAGCTGCTACAGTATCCAATAGCCAAGTCCACGGCCTTCCGGAAGGTCCTAGTGTGGCCTTTCGATGTTGCTCACGTTTAGGCTAAGGCAAGTGGGCAAGTGGTGGAGTCTACCCGTGCTGACTCAGCAGTCCCAGTCCCAGTCAGTCTTAGTCCAGTCCAGCAAGTACTGTACGGGACTGTGTGCACCACGGGCATGGGAAAGGACCAGACCAACGAGCTACAAAAGTATAAATTGAGAGGCAGCGACCAGCCATTCATTCATTCCTGCGTAAGCCATGCGGAAGCGCTGCCATAGTGACTTGTGCGAGGTGGTCTGCAGTAAGCCCGAGGACGAAGTGGGCGAGAAGGAAGTTAGCCATAGTGATAGAGTAGCAGCAGCCATAGCCGCAATAGCTGTAGGTGTGTGCGGGTGTGTGCGAACAGCAGTGTTGAGTAAGTGACAAACAGAGAGTTGTACAGGCGGTGTGCCGCCACAGCCGTTTGAAGTGAACTTGTATCTGAGCTGCGTTCTTGGTACTATATCTCTGAGTTCTGAGAGGGCGCTTGATGCCAGTTTGCTGCGCAACCTGTTTGCATACATGTGAAGTGTGAATGAAAGTGAGTTTGATTGCACAGTCCTAGAAGACTCTAGACTTGCCTACTTGACCCTTCGGTACTGTAGCGGCTACGACTAAGGTTGATCTTTCAGACCTACAACAGCTACTACCGGACTTCTATCCTACAGGTAAGCAGCTCGAATCTACTCCACCCTCGTATGAACAACAACTGCCCACAGACAACTTTAAGGGCAGGTCACGGGTTCAAACCTAGATGGGGCAAACTATATTGTACACGGGTTCGGGACAGGTCTACTGTTGCATACTGTAACGTGCAGACCAGAACAAGAACCGACCTTTCAATACAAAGTACAAAATAACACAGCGGAAGACTTAGATACCAGTGATCCGAACAATCAATGTTGTAATGCAGCCCTGAACATACATCATCGTCATCGTTTCATAGTGTGAATGGGTCTGGCGCTTCACACAGGAAGACAGCACCAGCCCA